TAAGAAAGTCATCGCATAAAAGTAAATCAATTGTAACTGGTGCTTTGACTTTCTATAAGCATATAAATGTACAAAATTAGAACATAATTACTTCATATCTTAATTTTTTACTTTACATTCTAAAAACACCCAGTTTTGACTATTTGGTTATCACTGATACTAATTGCTGAAACGACTCACATTACCTTCGCTGTTGTCTAAGCTGATTTCTTTCCACAAATGTGCTTTCAGGATCAAAAACAACCCAACAGGAACTCCCAGGCCGCCCCTTTAATTGATGGATGAATACCCTAGCGTTCACAGAACAATTAATGAGCTTCATAATTCTTAAAACTCAATATCCAGATAAACAGCAATACAAAAAATTATTGTTGATAAGTAACAGCAAGAGGCATATTAAATGTAATTAACCCAACTCTTCATGATGAACTCAACAGACGTGCCACTAGTAGACCAAGTTATCCAACTTTTATGTATAGTTCAACAGCCTAAATTTATACACAGCTGACAGAGAGTGTCAAACCTATTGCACACAGCAGAACAACAAAAACTAATCACTTTTATGAGGTAAGACCATGCTAGTTTTCCAAGAGATGAAAGAGGGTCCTACTTCCATTGGCTAATAACTTCCTATAGTGCTCAAAGAGCTTGAAATAAGGGAGAATATAGACCCCTATAGAGTGAAGCAACGATTTTAAGTTAACTCACAAATAGATAAGAAAATAAAACAATGTAATACAAACGATCTAGTTTACCCAAGGTCAATAGGTTTTGGGGTGCAACACCACTCACAAGTCCCACATAAGATTAATATTTAGTCACAAAGGTACTCAATTTCATTTCATCATTGCGCCGATAACTCCTGTTTAACGGACTAACTATAACTTGTATTCACCATCCAAACACCTGACCTCAAGCAAGTAAACAACAGGCTGGAATAACGCACTCTCTGTGTCACATTAACTGGATCGTGAAGAGTAGTAGCAAGGAGAGAAAAAAACACTGAGAGTGGCAAGACAATGAGACAATGCAAAACAAGACAAGGATCGAGTGTTGTTGCGGCTCCATCATTTTCCTTGTCTGAGAGTAAAGTAAAGGTATTACTTTACCAACCAAAATAGTAACATCTTCAACCTTTTCAGCTTCCACAACAGCTAAAACTTTCAGTATGACTATTCAGAATTTCCAAAACATCAATCTACCTCAAGTAGAATCTTCCAAAGAAATCAAACATTAAACACAGTCACAATACATAAAAACTGCAGTACTTTACGAGGAAACTACAAGCTGTCTCCGAATATGAAACCGAACTGTTTTATAGGAGTAAGATATTAATTGCAAGTTGAAGTCAGCTTTCAGTCACTTGCTTGTCTCTGTTGCAGAGCATTCGCAATTTAAAATTAAGTTGTTATACAAAAATTGCTTATTTGAAAGATCTAATTCTCATCTTCCATACCTGCTCTTAATTGTTTAAATACAGGAACCAGTAAAGCAATACATTTGACTCAAAATTACACGCATCCAAAGGAAATTGAGAATGTGGTATACAATACAGGAATAATGGCGAAAAAGGTATACCCCTCGTTGTATTCGTCGAAGAACACCAGCTATATCCAAATAACCATCTTTAGAGAATGCAGCTTTCCATCTTCTTTCACTAAGAGTTTTTCCTACCTGTCCAAACAGTGTAAAAAAAGCACAGTAAGGATCTTAGTTGTGTCATAAGCATCTATAATCCTTGAAGATATCACAAACAGCTACCTAATAATAACACTTATTTCTTCAAAAGGAATAAGACAAATGTCAACCAAAAAACTCTGGCTTTTGCCATCATTCAAGTATTTACCTAATTGATTGATTAAACATATTTGCATTTAGCAACCCCCAATGGACCAAATAAAACAACTACAAGAATTTCCACCCAGTGTTTCTTTTGAAGCCTGGTATTTACCTTTTGTCCCCATTATAAAAATTTCTGCAGATATAACACCACGTGGCATAACTTTGGGCAGGGCATAACTTGTTTTGTCCGGTGCGTGTTCAACGTTATGCCCCGTCAAATAATCTTGCAAAACTTAATAGAGGGCAAAAGTTAAATAACTGTCTTAGACGATTCTATTTGTGCAAATCTCCCCAACAACTACACCATCAAAGGATGGACAATGATTTTCTAGAAAAGACAAAAATGACATAAGTTTCTGAACCACATGAGAGTAATTAATGTCAAAGAATCAAGGAAAAAAGACACCATCAAAGGATGGACAATGATTTTCTAGAAAAGACAAAAATGGCATAGGTTTCTAAACCAGATGAGAGAAATTAATGTCAGAGAATCAAAGAAAAGGAAAAAAGACACATTTAACGCTGTCAATATGAAGATAACACACCAAATGAACAAGAACAACAAAGAACAGAATCAGATACAGTAAAGTAGCATAGAAAAGGGAAAAAAGGTGATATTTTTTCAACACACCCTTGCTTTGAATCGGGTCTTGGGAACATCAGCTAGGCATTCAGGTCTAACAGGATAGTAACTGTCTAGCTCCTCTGAAGAAGAATTCTTCATAGCACGAACCCCTGTTAATTCAAAACACAAACCCCACAATCAATCCAAAACAGGGGAAGAAAATTGAACAATTCATCCACTTTAAGAAGAAAAAACACATACAACAGACTCATTCAGACATTCCATCAAACATATAACCTACCATCATTCTTGAAATCAAGGGATGACTTAGAATTACCCATGTCTTCGTTCAACAAAATAAGAAATTACAAAACTAAAGATCGCCAAGATTTCTACATAGAAAGATAAATATAGAGATTGAATTTGAAACGCAAATGATATTTGAAAGTTTCAAGTACCTGTATTGAATATGATGAAGACAAACTTGAATAGTTTGACTTGCTGGCTCTTTTTTCTTTTTTTTAATCTTTAATTTATTGTCTTGATTCGATTTGTACAATGAAACAGGGAAGATGAGAAATTAACGTTATTCTCAAATATCCACTTTTTATTCAAAATATTTTATGGTTGAAATAACAATCAGATTTTAAGGTTGTTAGAAAATATATGAATGAACAATGGACAGGAAAAATGAAAATATTTAAAATGATTACTCTCATTTTTTGGTGAAAAAATATGTTGTACTTACTATTGGTGTGTTTTGGGTATGGAGAAAAATATTTTTTTGTAAGATACATGTTTTTTTTTTTTTTTTTGGTATATAAGTAAATAATGATATCTTAAAAGTATTTGTAGGGGATAGGGGTGTGGGGTGGCAGGAATAGGGACGAGGGTGAAGTCAAGTAAGGTTGAAGGGGTTTATCCAAATTTTATTTGGTAAAAGTTATATTATTTATATATAATTAAAATTATTGTTTATGTATTTATAGTAGTAAATGTTGATCCCTCTGAATTCTTCTTGTATTTTGAACCCTCTCATTGAAATTTTGACTCCCCAACTAGATGGAATGGGGGCTACAGAATTTGCGATAAAGATGAGATATGTTGGAGGGTGGAATGACAGAATCAATATGAAATTTCACTATGAAACTTGTTTATTCCTACTTTTACTATAGTTTTTAAGGAACATACTTTTCTTTAAAAAAAAAATTCACAAGATTTGATCAAGCGAACGTGAAATAATTGAAAAACATTAGCTACCGGATACACCCTTTGAGAATGTTTTCGTTTTCTTCTACTTATAGTTTGATGTTCTTTTTTGCTTTAAAAGTTATGAGAAAATACCCAAAAAATTCCCTTACGTCATGCTAAAAGAAACTTATATTACTCCATATTATATTATTAATAATCAACTTAAAATAACTTAAAAGTATATAGTATTTATACTAAATTAATAAATGCAAGATATATATATTTGTGGGTATATGAACTTGTGTTGCTTAATATTGATCAAATAATGTGTTCTCAATTTAATTTGTAATTAAATGATTACTTAAGTTTATCTAACATATAATAGGATGCAGAGTAAGCATTTTTGGCAAACATATCATTAGTTTGTACTTTTAAAAAAAACAGAAGAAGGTAACATGTCATTAGAAGTTGGAGTAGTTAATCAAGTTGCTCTGCCAAAGAGAAAAAGGAATAAAATTTAATCAATTGGAGAAACTAGCTTTCAGTATGACCTTATAAAATACCTAACAAATAAAATGAGCAATCAATTATGATAATAGAATGACAACTTATTAGTTATAATACATAATTTATCTCCAAGCTCTAGTATTCAACTTATTTTATTTTACTATACATTATAAGACGCGACAATTTAAACTCATATTTATAATTTATTTACTCTTTTTAATTTATATTTTAAAGATGTTGGATCCCTTATACTTTATTTATACAGGTGAAACTCCAACTAGTGTCATAAAAATCCACAAAGTAGTGCAAGAGTAACTCTAGAAAATCTTAAAATATTCACATAATATATGGATGTGTCCTTTAACTTGGTTTTAGCTGGTATATATGTCCTCTAAATTTGAATTTGTACAAGTAAACACTTAAAACTTTTGTAAATTGAATAAGTAAACTTAAACATCCTACATGACAATTCACGTGAAATATGCTAGAACTGATTAGTATTATGCCATATAGAATGGTTGTGTTTATTTGTTCAACTTTATACAAATTTAATGTATACGTGTGCTTACACAAAATTGAAGAACACAAATAACAATTATGGCCAAGTTAAAGAACACATTTATATAATATTATATTTATGCCTAAAACGTTCTTGGAGTTTGAACTACACATTTCAAATTCCAATAATTTTTTCAACTCTAACACACTATGTTGGAGTTTCACATTAAGCGTTCCGAACTCCAACATACTATGTTAAATACATATCACATATTTGCCTTCTTACCTAAAATTTCCCATTTTAAACAATGACTAAACTTTGAATGAAGTCCAAAATTTTACTAGCCCACTCAATTTTATCCATTTTTTAGAAGATTGGGCTATTCACAGTCCAATTGCAAATTCTGGGCCTAAGCCCATGTTAGTACATAGAAAAACCCTAGCAGTATATTACTCCTCCCAGCTTCTCTATTTGTAGTCTGCTAGCGCTTCTACTCCTTCAGATCGCCGAAAATGGTGAGTCTATGCAAATTTTACTATTTTTCCACATGTTGAAGTTCATAAATGTGTTCGAATTTGATAATTATGTATTTGGTTTTGTTGTTTAGCCGTTCAAGAGGTTCGTGGAGATTGGAAGGGTAGCCCTAATCAACTATGGAAAGGATTATGGAAGGCTCGTTGTTATTGTCGACGTCATCGACCAAAATAGGGTAAATTTTTTTCTGCACAATTTGTACAGTTTGGAGCTGCTGGCTATATTTTTGTGAAGAAAAATAAAGATTTGATTTTTTAGTTCTGTGTTTTTTATTCTTGCAAGTTATTTTGGAGGATTTAATATAAGGCCTATGATGGAATATTTTAACATGCCTACATTGTCTGATCATTTTAACTTGATTGAGCAAATGTTAACTGAGGCCTTATTTTAATGATTCTTTAGATTGTTTATGTGGGAATGAAACAGTTTTGCCTTGTAAAGCTGTGTAGGGAAGTGGAGTAATCTGAATGTTCTGTTAATATTATATCAATTTTCTGTTTTAGTTTAGAGGTTAATATTTGAAATGTGGGCTGTGTATGCCTATAATTAGAAAATAATGCCCGACATTGTTCTGATTATAAATGTTTGCTTTGAAGAAAAGTAAAGATTTGATTTTTTAGTGCTGTGTTTCTTTTTGCAAGTTGTTTTTTGGAGGATCTAATATAAGGCCTATGATGGAATATGATAATATGCCTACATTGTCTGATCATTTTAACTTGATTGAGCAAATATTGACTGAGGCCTTGTATTATGATTCACAAGAGTATATGCTTAAATAGTTTCTAGGGATGGAGTCTTTTTTGTGTGTTAATTGACTTTTTGTTGTACTAGTGATATAGGGTTGTTACGTATGTGTTGTGTGGAACGGAATATAGTTTTTCTTAACCTAATAGCTCCATTAAAATAGGATCAGTTTTGTGCTTTATTTAAGAGGTAATATTTGATATGTAGAAAATATTTCTACTTGTTTCCCATAACAAGACTGATTTTCTGGTGATGTAGGAAAACTCTTTTCACCTTCTATGTTTGTTTTGGTTCATCTGATAGATGAAATGTGTCAGTTTTCTTGTTTCTTTTACTTTATAGAATAGAATGGATACAAGGATTATACTTTACAAGGGGGAATTTAAATGGTTATATATCTTACCCCTGAAAATGAAGTGGTAACACTGTATGATTTACTCTAATTTGCATAGTTGGTACTTTGCCTTGACCAGTGCCAAAATAGCCTAGGAAAATGAAGTAAATGTCAACTCATTTTCACTTATTTTTTGAAATTATAGGCTCTTGTTGATGCTCCAGACATGGTGAGGAGCCAGATGAACTTCAAGAGGCTTTCACTTACAGATATCAAAATTGACATCAAAAGAATTCCAAAGAAGAAGACCCTGGTTGAGGCTATGGAAGCTGCTGGTGAGTTGTCTTTACTAGTTCTTTTGAATTTCTACTAGTTGTGAATTGGCAATTGGTTTTGCACTTCCATTTTCTTTAGAAAGAGAATAAACCTCGATTTGTCTGGTTTCTCCAGATGTGAAGACCAAGTGGGAGAACAGTTCATGGGGAAGGAAGTTGATAGTGCAGAAGAGGAGGGCTGCACTTAACGATTTTGACAGGTTCAAGCTTATGCTGGCAAAGATTAAGGTGCGGTTATGCTTGCTATTTAAGTTAGCTTCATTTTGTTATCTGCGCGTCCAGTCAACCATCCAAAGAATGTAGAGTCAGTTTCTGGATAGCATTCACTAGGCTGAGTTTCCATTACCTGCTAGATCAACATTTGAACGTGTATCTTGTTGTGTTACTAGCTTTTAGTTAAAATCATAATGTACTGTTGTGTTTGAATTGCTGTTTTCCTAGACCTTGTTTTCCTTTCTCCTTTCAAGACCTGATACATGTATTTTGACATTGCAGAGAGCTGGAGTTGTGAGACAGGAGCTGGCAAAACTTAAGAAGGTTGCTGCTTGAGAACTATCTGATCAGTGAAATTGATATATAGGATTTTTGGATCTTGTATTTTGTTTAGCTTTGAGGGATGTTATTTAGAACAAGTCTGTTATATTTCATGCCTTGCAATATTTAAGACTTTTTGAGATCATTTTTGTCTGAGATTTTTTGCTTAATTATGATGGGAAGCTACCAACTTCTTTGTCATCTGCTCCTTATTAGCTGAAATTGCTTGATGTCCTATATCGTTAAAAACTCTTCATTGTCACCATGATTTCTATCTCAACTCTGATGAGGTCTAGTTTTGGACAAGCTCTTGGTGTAACCACGTGATTTCAAGCATACCACTGGGTGATGAAGAAATCTAAACATAATTTACTTTTGGTTCAAATTTTGGAGGTCATTTTGTGCATGTTCTAAGTAGGCTACTACAAATATGATGTCGAAGGAGATGCATATTTTATTTGGTTCCCTTAATTGTCAGTGTCTAAATGAAATTTAGAAGCAAATTGAAGGGATTATTAATATATTAAGCGAATTAAATGCACATATACCGATAAGGTTATGTCATCTTACGAGCTTTCATACCTTAGGTAACATCAGGCTGCAAAATTTACAAAGCTAAGAAGGTTTAATCATAAAGAAGAGAAATCCCCAGTACAATTTTGTTTTTTCATTAACTTGTTTATGTCATAATCCAAAAGCAAATAATGGGAGATTTGGAGTTGTACTGCCACGAGTAATTAATGTTGAGTTGGGTGTAGCTTCATGCTAGCAATTAGGAAATGGAGAAAAGGTGAGCTGCCTTTAGAAAATCCTTTCACTTGAATACCTTGGACTGGTAGTTATAATCATCAGTAGAACCTCAAACAGAATTTCTCCACCACACATTCGTACATCATCATCAAAGATTAAATATATAACTTAGTACATATTACTCATCACTTCTTTGGATGAGGCTAAATAGCGTTACAATGACCAGAAACTCTTCAGGTAAAACAACACCAAGTTATAATGAAAAGTTGGATTAAGCTTTAGTTTTCATGTAGAAAATTTCAATTTACAGAAGAGACATCCTTTTATAGGATCACAAGATTCAAACAACGAGAAAATTTCTCTTCACAAGTGCATCCCTTTACTTCCTGATTGAAAGAAGCTCAAAGCTCCGAAGAGGGTCATCACGGCTGCCCTTCGTAACTGAAGTTCGGGAGAACAGTGATGGTTTTGGTTCAGCTCCAGAATGAATCCTTTGTGTGGCAGATAAGCGCCCACTGCTTGACACTAATCTGCTGCTTGAGCGACTCTCCGTAGGTTCACCAGAAGAGCTCGGTCTGCTACTTGAAATTGCAGCCCTTCTGGACGAGCTGCAATTTCTCGAGGTACGGCCTCTTTCTGAATCAGCTTGCTGTAAAATTACAAGCATATAGTTCTTAAAATTATTTTACAGTCAATACTACTCTTTCACTGAAAAAACAATCATTTCAATGACGGACTATATACAAACTTAAAGACAAGTACTACAAAGTGATGGTTAGACCAACTTTGTTGTATGGGGTGGAGTGTTGGCAGATCAAGAACTCTCACATTCAGAAAATGAAAAGGGCAGAGATGAGGATGCTACTATGGATGTGTAGGTATACTAGGAGATATAAGATTAAAAATAAGGATATCCGAAACAAGGGAATGACTTCAGCGGAAGACAAGATGCCGGAAGTGAGGTTGAGATGATTCGTGCATGAAATGAGGAGATGCACAAATGCCCTAGTGCGTAGGTGTGAGGTTGGCTATGAATGGATTCAGGAGAGGTAGAGGTTAACCGAAGAAGTATTGGGGAGAGGTGATTAGACACATGACACAGTTGCATCTCACCGAGGATATGACCTTAGATACGAAAGTGTGGACTTGAATTGGGGGAGTGTGTCCACACTAGTAAGTAAGAGTGTATTAACTTGCAGTCGATTCTAGTAGTTGTGTAGTATTACTCTTGTTTCTTCTTCTTTGATTTCTGTTATTATATGTTGTTTCGTGTAGTTTGATTATAGTATTATTTTGTTGTAGTATTGTTCTGCTACTATCTATTGTTTAATTACTGTATGTAGTTTTTTTTATTTCCATTACTTTGTTTTCTAGACTGTTTTTATCTTGAACTGGGGGTTTATCAGAAACAGCCGCTCTACCTCTGAGGTAGAGGTCAGGTTTGGAGTACACTGTAACCTCCCAAGAGCCCACTTTCTGATACTACACTGGGTATGTTGCCATTGTTGTTTACTATATATGAGATCCTAAACTGTAATCACTAATTAAGCATTAAAAGCTGAATGCTCATGCAAGCAAACTGATAATATTCTCCAATCCCACTGAGAAAAAAGTTCCTTTAATAGCTTTCAGAAAGAGAAGGATCAATACCACATCTTTAGATGAAGGTATATCATCTGAAGTCTTGTTTCTGGAGTGTTCCCCATGCCTACCAGAACTAGAAGCATTCCTCCGGGAAAATGCTCCAACAGCACCAGAAAACCTGTCCCGAATATCCTGTCCCACTAGATTACATGCCAAGCATCAAACAATGATAAATTCAGTAGCTGCAAACTCAGTATTCGTCTTTTACATTAAAAACATATCTCCAAACATTCACCATTTGAATAAACAAACAGAAGTACATGCTGGCTCATAATTTTGGGCATATCATCTAAGAAATTAAAAGTCAGAAAAGGATTACAAAAAGTCCAAAACTTCAGGTCAAGGAAATTACCTGATGTCCTTCCCGGTCTTTCAGCAGATGGCACAGCATTTAGCGGCGCACTTCCACTAATATTCTGGTGGCAAAAAAAAATGCACACTTCCACCTTAAAAAATTTAAGAACAGATTTTCAACAACAATCAAAACAAGTTTTACAAGCACTTACACGTCCTCTAGAGCTGGCACCGATCTGAGGATACTTCAAAATGGTCCAATCAAACACATAGTCAAACTGATAACCTGCACCAGTGAAAAGGTTAAGATGGAGAGAGATCACAACACATACTTACAACAACAACAACAACAAACCCAGAGTAATCTCACAAGTTGGACCTGGGGAGGGTAGTGTATATGCATACCTTACCCCTACCTTGTTTCCTATAGACCCTCGGCACACACTTCAGGTTTAAAATTGACTGTTACATCTCAGACAACTTAAGACTGAAATAGTAAAAGTGGGAGAATTACAAATATACCTTCACGAATAAACAAGTCCCTAAAAAGTCTCTTCAAATATGAATAGTCAGGTTTATCTTCAAACCGTAATGACCGACAATAATGGAAGTATGATATGAACTCTGATGGATATGATTTACAAAGCACCTGTTAGAAACACCATCAAATCCTGTGTCAATTTACTCATCTGATCACTCACATCATCAGCAGATAATATACATTAAAGGCAAGACAGGCTGGACGAGATAACAATTGGCTTAATGAGATAAATACATTTTTAAATCATCCATTTTTGGGATAAGTACATCTTAAACCACCTATTTTGACAATAAGAAGTGTATACTAAGGTAATTCTATCATAGTTGACTAAAGGACGTCCACTTTGTGAGAAAACACACAGTCAGAGTCACAACAGTGGTGAAGATGACATCATCAAGAATCATTAGTACTCATATATAGTACCTCTATTGGTGTCAACATCTTCTTCTCACTGATTTTATCATATTTCTGCTTCTTAGTACCAGCTTTCAATCCCTGCCATGGAAGACTGAGCAAGAAAAACTTGTCATCAAGTCATGAACACGTCCATAAATTTGCAAATGCATAGGAACTGGTCAGAAACAATGACAAAAAGAAAAAGGTGATAAAATCCAACCTTCCTCTAAGAAAATACATAAGCACATAACCCAGAGATTCCAGATCATCTCTTCTGCTTTGCTCTGCCAGGGGAAAAAACAAGACACATGTTTTATCAGTTACAATAGAATCTGTGGCTTACCATACCTGCAGTTACTTGACAACCTAAACATTATTAACCTACCAACTCCAAGGTGCGTGTTGACACTTGCATAGCGAGCTGTGCCGGTCAGATTCTTGTTTTCCCTGAGAAAAAATATTGACATAATACCATGTAAAGGGCAGCTAAGACACATATTTCTCACAAATTGAACAAATCAAAGAATATTAAGACACAAAATTGACCAGTGTAAAGTCTTTTCTTAATATTTTCCTTTTTTCTCTGTCATTAGGAACATAGTAAGAAAACAAGGATAAGATTGTCACAATTTACTCGGAACTCGTTACACTAGAGCTTGATAATATTAAAGAGTAGAATTTTTTTCTCAAATGCCTTAATGTCAGTCAGCTCAAACAAATTCATATTGTGATCAACAAAATGATACAGCAAGGACCCAAAATAGAAGCAGTTAAGCACCAAATACCAGCGACTGATGTATTAATTGGCAATATTAATGTACATTAAAAGAGGACACAGTTCCATAAACTTGAAAATACGAGTTTGCCTTCCACAATCACCCTTCCAAGGATCAATTGAGACATTAATGTCATAAGCACCATATAGCGACTGATACTTAAGTTACTGGTAATATGTTAAAACCATCTAAGTAAATGCAAATCAATACCATAATCCATTGTCATTTGGCTATTCCACTCATTAAAATTACCCTGATGATAAATTTAAAGCAATATTTTTTAATTCTTTTCTGTTTTACATTCTAAGTTTGGACTCAACTAGCCAGCTTCCAATCTCACTCAGGAAAAAACTGGTCAAAATTCTCCCTAAAAAGTAAGATAAGACCTTTTCTGGATTAAAGAAGGTACAAGTACAGAGGCAAGAAAAACCAATGGGAATGTGTCGAACTACAAAACATCTTACATAGCATGCTTCCCAAAAATTTAGTGAAAAGACTGTCTACATTTCACAAGTGATCAAATAACAAGTATCAATCTATCATGTATTCTCCGTATGTGATCAACTAACAAGTATCAATATCAATCTATCATGTATTCTCCGTATGTGATCAAATAACAAGTATCAATATCAATCTAGTATGTATTTTCCATTCAGTGATGCATACACGAGTCAACAGATTGTCCAGTGAGTGTATGTTTTCATGTCTTATGGATTGATGAACAGGAAAGGTAAAATACTGTTAGAAAGTTCACTTTTACTAGACACCATGCTGCTACAATTTATGAAGTCCTT